TGCTCAGCTGATTAAATAATGAATAGGAAAATTAAAATTTCCGTCTTGAGCAAAATCGAATTAGAAGTGTAGATTAAATAGGCTTAATAAAATTTCTTTATTGTTCAGAAGTTATTTCTGTGTATAAATAAATGAAATAGCTTTCATATATTGCAATGAAAGTATATCTCTTACAAATCACTGGAGCCACCACCGGCTGAGCGGTAAAGTCGCTGAACACTGGTAGTTCGATCCTAGGTTCGAATCCAAGCAAACGGGCTGGCTGCATGGGCGCTTGCGCAGCTTTCCCCATGTGTAACGTGTATACGAGCCAGTTTTTCTTAGAAAGTCCTCCACGAAGGTATTCCTTTTCTTAGGCAAATAGCCCTTGAGTGCTTTGCCGTTATTAAATTGTAGAGGCATTAGGCATTTTTTAGAAGCAGGCAAGATAAAAAATGAGCAATCGCCTTCGCCGGAAAATCGAACCATGAACCTCAAGAATACCGGCCCAGCGTGCAGAACCACTACACCACGAAGGCACGCTAGGAAGGCGGGAGAAATACCTTATAAAATAGCCTAAGCTTACACATCACTTCAGATCAAAAATTTTAAAGGAATGTTTTAAGCCCAAAAAAATTTTAATTTTATCTTTGATAAGCCTAAGTAAAAGTCATTTTTGTATTTTATGTTGCCCAACATGCAAGCTCAAAACATTAATTAACAAAACAGCGATACAGTTCCTCAGAAAAAAATTATTTCATACTTATAAAAAAAAGTTACTTTTTAATTTTTCAGCACAAAACGTTTAAAATTTCGTCTTCTTACCTAAAGCTTTAAATGAAAACTATTATTTTACATTATGTTATCCACTTAGTAAGATCTAAACATTAATTTGCGGCAAGTCGGTTTATCAAAGATTTCTTATCTGAGAAACTGCTAGTTTCTTCCCTTTCAGCAGTAGAAAATGCCTCGCCCCGAACAGTTTTCTAATGTAGGATTTATAACGTTTATAATTTATAAGAAATTTTCTGCTTCCCATTATGAACCTTCGATGTGTAATTGAAAACTTGTTCTGCCATCAACCGGGAGGTCCGGAGAACAAGTTTCGGCGAGAGTATCACTTATTTTCGTGCTTTAAGGAGTCTATTAGTCTCTATAAATTTTCGAAAATAAAAATAAGGATAAAGCCTGAAACTTATTAACATACAGGTCATCGGTAAGGTCCGTAATAGCTATTCGGTTTGAAATTGACTTGATCTTATTTTGTGTCTTAAATTCGTTTACTTTTAATTGCAGACTACACGTAATTCAGTCCTTTTATAAAAAACATACATTATTCTAAATATTTGTGTAAAAACAATTTCCTTTAAATATTTTTCAAACACCCAAAATTTAAACCGAAAATTTATCATTCAAAATTTAGATAAGAGCATACGATAATTTCTTCTCACACTAATGTCCTCTTAATATAAACTTGACTTCCTTTCAAAAACGAAGAAGTGTGTGAAAATCTTCATGTACGCAAATATTGCATGTAAATAAATAAATATGTAATAAAATTGCTGTTATAAAGTGAGTAATGTTGAAATAAAGAATCCTGCAGTGAATAACAGGTTACATAAAAACTTATGCTTGGTTATTAATATTTTTAAAATAACTTTAGATGAGTAAATGGTATTGATTTTCCTAAAAATTATTGCACTATTAATTTTTGTTTCTTAAACATTTGTATAATATGTTCAGTCCCTTTTTTAAAATTATGGAGAAGAGTCTTAAATCTCTGACATCCCTGCAAGGAATGCTTTGATCTACTTGTAATAATTCTAATGACTAATTATTTTGCTTTGACTGCGTTTTTGATTTCAAAGAACACGTTTGATTAATGTTGTGATAATGCGCTCAGAATCTTTTGAAACACGTTTTTTATTCATATCTTGAGAGGGATCTGAATACATTAGTGAATTCGAATTTTGTACTGCTGTAATTAACTCGAGAATTTTCTTTACTGAAGTAACAATTTGATTAATAGAAAAATAGATAATAAAACCTTGAAGAGCCAGAACATTATTTGTCACCGTCTTTATATAAGAGTGAAAAAAATAACTTTCTGTTCTACGGTTGAACAAATTATTCTCATTACTTTTAAACACTCTATTTTTAGATGCTGTCTGAAAGCTCTAAGGCGCTTTATTCCCCGTACTTTTGTACAAATATTTCAAAACTTACACAAGAAATACCTTTTGAACAACTGTCCACAGATGATTATGATATAATGGATTTAATGTAAGTAGCAGAGATTTTAAGTTTCATAGATTTAATTTACAATTACAATTACAAGTTACATAGATTTAATTTACAATTACAATTACAATTTACACAGATTTAATTTACAATTTTTCATAGATTTAATTTTAGCAGTTTAATCCATGGCTCATGGTTAACAAACGAATCAAATAAAATAAGATTTTGGTCTGGAACAATTTTTGCCATGAGAGACTTTTCAATAAAAATATGATTAATATGATTTCTATACACGTTTCCTAGCTAAATTAATCCTCACTTCCAAAGAAACCTTCACATTCGTAGTATACAATTTTTTTTTTTTCTTTAAATTTATTTTTAATTTTTTTCTTTTAATTTATTTTATTTTCCTCTTAATTTATTTTTAAACTTATTTATTGATTTTAAGATGGGCTATGTTTATTTTATTCGACTCTGAAATGCAAAAAGAACATAACTACTATGACAGGAACATTTTATGCAGTTTTCTGTGGCATGTTTCTGTTTGAAAACATCCCCCTCATCTAGCTCACATGCACTGTTTTATTAATGAATTCATTTTCACTGTATATTCATAAATATAACAGCTTGGAAAGTCGTTTATTTACCTTCAGTTTACAAAAATGTTCTTTGATTTTTTTTATTTAAGTACTTTTATGGTATGTGACCTTTTTCATTGAAGAATTTAAAAGATACTACAGAACTTTGAAATGCTATTTAGAGTAACTATCAAGATAATAAGATATAATTTTATTTGCTATAACAATTTAGTTCATTAGTCTGGGTATAAAACTAAGATTTTTTTTACGTAAAATATTTTCTATAAACTTCTCTCACTTCACATCCTTAGTGTAATATTAACAAAAGTTTCTAAGGTAATTTTTCACCTTTTCCTTAATATAAAGAGAACTTATCTACTTAATTTTATGTTAAAGTTTGGTGTTTAGGCCATTTGAGTATCCTTTTTTGTGGAACACTTTCGCAATAATAAACTTATATACTCAAGTTTATCTCATAAGCCGTTTTGTTTTTCGTTTTTCTGAAGTATCTTCAAAAAGTGCAAAGTATGAAAATATACCTTAGAACAGTGATGAGAACCCTATAACCTATGGTACGCGTGCCACAGTCGGCAGGCGACTAAAATATTACTTTCTTAATCAATAATCACAACAAAATGATACTATGTAATTCAAATAAGTGTTTTAGTCTGTTCTTGAACGTTTCATTTACTTACTCATCGCATAATGCCACTGGCATAGAGCCTAAGCCTAGATATAAGATTTTCATATACCACCATAGAAATGAGATGCATATTTATTGACCCGATTTAAGACGTTTAAATTGTTTGGGCAAATCATATTACTTGTTACATGATACGCCAAAGTTGAAGCAGCTAATATTTGCTAAACGAATTCAAATTTCAGACTGCCGATGAGTTTTAATACTTTCATTGTTAAATAAAGTCCAGTTTTCAGATCTAAGCATTTTGAGGTAACTTATGAATAATTCTAATTTAAGGGGACTCGTACACCTTAAAACCCATAAGATCTTTGAATGCCGGATTGTTGCAAGAATTGGGATAACTTATTTATTTTAAAAGCAATTACTTCCAACTTTTTCAACAGCTGACTACATAATATAGCTGCCTTCTGATATAGTAATCAGAAAGTTTGTGTTGCCACAAATATTTTTATAATTTAATCCGCTTTGTGATAAAATGTTTCGTCATGTTTCCACCTTGCGCGCACATTTTAAAACATTATGTTGCATAATTTAATTCCACACTTAATATATAGCTTTTATAGCATTTGGAAACTACTGTGAACCAAAAATTCTAAGAATTTCATGTTAAATTTTTATTTTATTTGGAGTTGAGTTTATAAAATGTGTTTTATAAAAAAATTTGTAATGTTTTTGTCCATAAATGTTTTTAGTACTAAAATATTCATCATATTTTTGGTTCAGTTAGAAAATATTGCCCGTATAAAGAATTCTATCAAATTTCAAGCATGTACCATTATCCATTTTTAAAATATCATGCGCGCACGGTGGAAACATGAAGAAACATTTTGTCACAAAGCGGATTAAATTACAAAAATATTTGTGGCAACACAAACTTTCTGATTACTAGTTTCTAAAGCAACTACATTATGTAGTCAGCTGTAAAAAGTTGGAACTAATTGCTTTTAAAATAAATAAATATCCCAGTTCTTGCAACAGTCACATATTCTAAGATCATAATTGGTTTAAGGTGTATGAACCCCTTTAATATCTTAAATGGAATGGCAAGCAGTCATTAAATTTTGAGCACGCAGCCCCTAAAAGAATCGCCTAGACAACCTTAGCATATACGAGACATTTCATTGATTTCAAAGTAATTTAACTAGGTGTTTAACTCAAGAAGTAAAAGAAATGAATAAATTACTACGAAAAATTGGAAAAAATGAATAATTTAGTTGGCTTTCAAGTAATCTCAAATGAAACCTTAAGCCGATAAAAGCAAATATTTAAACTAATTCTCTTTCTCTGCCTATTTAAAACATGTGCAGACAACGAGTTAGATTAGTAGAAGTTATCTTCCAAGAAATAACACTATTTTCACCTTTCGCATCTTAAGTACGCTCCCTAACATTCATTGCGAACGGTTTTTGATTGGTGGTTATTGATGCTTGAAGCTCAAAAGGGGTGAAGGGAGACTGAAACAAAAGGGAAAGTTGAAAAATATCCTACCACGCGATTCCAACACGAATAATTTCTACTCTCCCTCTGTTCTGCACTCTATATAAGGAACCGCTCAGCGCAGCTGGAATATTTTATCTGCTGTGGTGGCATCATTAGAAAGGAAGTTCCTCGGACTATAGATATTCAGCATGACAATACTTAGGAAAATTTTGGTAAGTGTTATTATTATTACTGTATTTAAAGCTGGTATAATAGCTTTATTTTACTGTTAAGTTACTTAGATTTTAATTCGCTGAAATATATCACAATTAATATATCTTAGATTTATTATAACATGTAAGGACGTTTCGCGGATTTGCTTCTGAAGTAAATATGAGGACATCTTTTGGACACGATCGTAAAAGTTATAAAATAAACTCAAGTACTAATACAGAAATAAAAAAGGTGCTTCAAATGATAATTTTTATTAGCTTGTATATCTAAAACAATGAATAAACTAGAAATTTATTGTTAAATTTGGGAAGAGGAAAACGTTTCGATTCAGAATACTTATAGTAGTAGGTTTCAAAATGGTATTTTTAATGCTTACAATATAAGTGTAGCCGGAGATATGAACCTAGTTGCATTGTGTATTGATGACTATATTTTGATTTAAGAATATTATTACTACTATTTTGGGAGTATTGTCAATTAATGTGTTTGTATAAAGAAGGCTAGTATACTTCAGAGAATCAAACAGCCTCTCTAGAAATTTTCCCGAAACATATTTAAAAAAAAAATTATTAAACTCTGTTAACAATAGTTTTGTGCTAATGTGAAGAATATTGTTATAAAATTAAAAAGTAATTTTTCTACATATTTACCCTTCTTTTATGCAAACAGTTATTTTTATTTCTATTATTTCTATGATAAGAAATAAGACTGTGAAATTTCTCATACGTATACTAGAAGAAATGATCATTTTTTTTTTCATAAAAATTTAAACATTTTCTTAAATTTCCCTGAACGTCTAAACTTTCTTTCCTAATCCAATGTCATTCTGGTACGATTTGTGGCAAAGCTTGATATTAGCATAAGTTTATATGCAAATACCGCAGCTTGAAGCTGGAGGAAAAATCATTGAACTACATCTTACCAAAAAAGCTCAGATGCAATCAAATTAAGAAAGCGTGTATCTTTACTATTCTTGTCAGAGGCACAGATATATAGATATCATTCCTCCATATATTTTAATTCATATATTCAGCGTGAGTAAATGAATGTTTTCTATTGATTGTCGCATTAATTCATTAGAATATCTGCAAGGGTTTTCTTTTTTCCTTAACTTAAAGGAAGAAATACAGTAGCCTTTGACTTACAGTATAGTTCGTTATCTCATACAGTATAGTTCGCTATTATACAGTATAGTTCATCAGAAGAATTATTATACAGTTCAGAACTATTATACAGTTCGCTATCATACAGTATAGTTCGCTATCTCACACATTTTTAAAAATTCAATTTTTATTATCCAAAGGGCGTTAGCCCAGAAGGGCTGTTAATTTCTTTTTAGCAATTTCCGTCGATTCACTTTCTGCGTTGATTCACTTTTCAAACTGCTGCCACCAACTATTACAGCCCTGTATTATATTTAAAGTCATATGATGAGGAATATGCTGATATTTTTTTTTCTTTCAGAGGTAAATAGTTCATTGGCGCTGCTCATATACTTGTATATTATTTTTCCCATCTGACGGAAACAAATACTGTATCTAAGAAAACTTGGATAGCCAGAAATAATTCCTGGCTTTTAGTTAGAACTCTGAATATCTTACAATTTCTTTTACGTTTATTTAATGCTTCATGTTATTTTTTATGCTCATTTCTCCTTTTTGTTCGTTAAAACTTTACTTTTGTAATTTTGTAATATAATTTCAGTGCAGATTTTTTATCTGTATATAAGACGGTGTTGAAGAGAATCGATTTGCTAATGTTATGTGCAATATGTTCCCATACATAAGTTAGGTGGTATTTTTAAGCTCCATCTGGACATTACGCATACACTGAGCGCAATAGCCATATCCTCCTTATGTCAGCCAATAATAGCGCAAGCACAGCTTCAGCAAATAGCAGCCAATGTCATATACCGACGCGACTTAGCGCGTAGAAAGATTCCCATTACTAGTATATTTGGTAGCGATGTTACTTTTCTGCAGACCATCTTCACATATATTGAGTATTAATGACCATATGCCGCCTAGACGGTAAAGCGGTTAGTGACTAACTGCCGTACCAAAGACACTTGGAGTTCTTTTGACATTTTATTCCTTACATAGAAGATTTTATTTATAACTATGTGAAATACAGTTTCTTACAGCAAAATATTCAGATGTTCACTATCATTGCCATTATATCTCAATCAACAATCCGCAGTCCGAAAAGAAAAAGAATAAGCATAAAATAGGAAAGCTTCATCCTCTCGGGGCCAGCCACATGAAACTGCAACAGCTTTTAACACACTGTAAGTCCTGGCTAATAACTCATAGAGAGCAGAATATTGTTAGAAGCTCAGCATATACAGGTTTATTTAGATCCAGAATGGACTATAGTTGTGTGATCCGTACATCAGCAAGACTTTCCGTTCAACTGAAAGTGGATCCGGTCCACCATTAAGCTCTACGAATCTGTTCTGGAGCTTTTAGAACATATCCAATTCCTACCAATATTGGCTCTTACACCGAGCACGAGCTTTATGTATTCCTCCTTTTGATCTGCGCTTTCGCTCATTAATTGAATAATTCAATTAAAACTATCTCCATTCCAATAGCTTTAGCCATTTTCGTGTTCTTCCTAGCAAGAAGTGTAAATTCAGTTACTTAACACTTTTGCAGGACTGGAGATGAACGACACTAACAATTATGTATTAGCAAATATTTCTAAAGCACAAAAGCAAACTTTCTAGCTACAAAGCAATATTTTCAGAAGGCTCAAAAAGCCGTAACCCTGTTGGGACAGCTTTTGCATGTGATAAGGAATAAATTGTAGCATTTTCCATTTAAGCCTGCAGAAATTTTTGCTACTTTAAGTTCTCTAAATTTCATTTCTAAGCTTCTTTGCAGAAAGTTCATTATATACTCCGATTTTCTGAGTGCGCTTGAATCAATAATTACAGAAGAGTCTTAGAAATTTAAAAGATACATTTTCATCTTAGGAATGTTTCTTATTATGTTGCTTACTGCTGGGTGCATGCGCTTGAAGAGCAACGAACTCGCTGATGTTGTTGCAAAATCAGTTGAAGCTTTTTCTAAAAACAACGTCTTTTTAGACATCCAGAAATACATCAAAGCAAAGATCTTATTTAAATGGTAACAGCACTAGGACTATCAAACAGAGAACAAGTTAAAGCAAATGAAACCAAATGTGGAGAACTGATAAACGAGGGAATTATAAGGAGGAAGTTCTGTTGACTCGCCTACGGATTGCTCATTGCAGAATGACAAATCATTACCTTTTGAAAGGAGACAATGAACCGAGTGCTGTTTGCAATGTTTTCCTATCAGTGAATCATATTTTAACCTGTTGTGCCTCTTTTATTAAGAAGCATGTTCATTATTTTAAACTCTCTAAATGTTAATTTGATATACCTAATTGAAAAATATCCTCATATTAATGTTCTAGTTTTTAAAAGGTTATCACATGATCTGAACCACTTTTCGTTTTATCTGCTTACCTGATTTTAGCAAAGTTCTCATCTTCATTTATATGTATTTTCACCAATGTTTCATGACTTACTAGCAATTTCTATAAAACAGGATTATGCTTCTATAGTATTTAAATTTATAATAGTTATCTTTTATATGTGGCATATGAGTATTTTTGTTTTCATTTAACTCAAAATTCCGTCTTCAAAATTAATCTGATCTAGTGTTTTTTCCAATTGTGCATATAGAAACTTATTTATTATTCGTTCGACACATCATAATCTTTAAAGGTTATCCGCCATTAAAAATCAACCTATCAATTATTTTCATTTCCTAAATTTATATCATATCATTTGTCTTATACTCGTATATCAGCCAGGATTGCGAGCGAAAACCTATTTTTAATGATTTAATAAAAATTATTAATTCAATAAGGATCACGAGAAATGCAACACAGCATTAAATTTCGTTTAGAAGAGGAAAATAGCACGTGTAATGAACTTTTCTATGATGCACAGCTACATATATATATAAAACAGCATACATAAGCATATTGTGTATGCTTTATGTATGATTCAAAGGATTTAATATGAGGAATTTTATATAATACGAGAAGTTTTTTGTTTACATTGAGAAGCTCGCTTAATAACTCTCTGATAGTATACGACACACGGCAGTTCCATACAAATCGAAAAAAAATCGAAAAACGGGACACTTCCGCATAAAAGAAACATTCATAGTGTGATGGATAATAGCAATTTGTACAGTTCAGTGACATTTATGCACAAACTACATCTTGGTTATTTTTCTATAAATAACGACAGCGATTTTGATTATGAATTGTTTTATAAAATTCCAAGCTGTTGAACTACAAAAAATATAGATTTTAGCTAAAATGTTATGCTTAAAGATTGAAAAATACCTTCCTGTACCTTTAAAATTGTATACATCTGTTATGTAAATTCTTATGTATTTTATTTTTGTTGTATATAATTATTGCATGTTATTTTACTGTGCATAATGTATTCTTAGTTATTATATTATTTTACTGTGTTTAATGAATTTGTATCGAGCTTATTTTAAATTAATGTATAATATTTAATATTGTTAACTTTACGGCAAAGCTTCTTTAAGTTTGGCAGAATTGTGTTACAGTTAAAAGGGCGCGGGTGTATTTCCGTTTCTCACGATTCGGCTTCCTTGGAGGTTAGAGGTCACTGTCCAGCTGCATTTTCCCCTTTTTTCGCCGGGGTTGAAAACACGTGTTTTTCTCGTTCAGAGGCGAACAGTTCTAAGGGGCAGCGATTTTTTGACAGACTTATAGGTTGGAAACTTTCTTCTTTACGTGGGAAACGGAAATCGCTTTGTTTAAAGTTTGCTGTTTTCTTACTTCAAGACAGTGGGGGTGGCTGGTAATTGGATACTCGTAAAAGCTAGTTTCGCTTGTTAGTTGGGGGAGGGTCTATTTCTTTTCTCACGTTATGAGTGCAGATGTTTTTCGGATTTCATTGTCAGATTTTCTGGGGTTTGAT